AGGCATGTCTTAGGGCCAGAGGTCTTACATCTCTGGGGTATAGGGTTGCCAACCACAATAAGAGTAATAATAACTAACATGTAAAAAGTGCTTGGTCTAAGCTAGGCACTGTTCTAGGTGCACAATTAACGCTCACTCACTTAATAATAGACCTAGGAGGTGCAGAGGGGGTCAGTAACCTGCCCATGGTCACACAGCTGGTGGTGAGGATTTGAATCTGGGCTATTCCATTCTTAACCCCTTCTCTGTCTCCCTAGGAGGTAACTGAGGGCTGGAGGTTTGTGGTAAAAAGTAATGTAGGATCCTAAGGATTCTAAACATTAAAGACAACAGGGGTGCACATGAGCCAGGTGATTGATTTTTCACATGCACGTGTGACTTCTGAGTTAGAGCCGCAGGGGATCACTGCATTTCTCTGAGGGCTTTGTGGCCCCCTGGGGGCACCCTTACATTTTCTATTCTAATTTTTGATGATGATCTAACAAGAAATTCAAAAGAAGCCTGTTTTTTTGGCTCATCTGGTCAATAGTGTGGACTGAGGGCTGCCCTTGGAAAAGAAAGAGAGCAGGAAGGCTGGGGCTTCCTTCAAGAGAATCACCGAGAAATCATCCCTGAGCTGCAGTGGGGCTGACTGCAGGTTTGTTGCAAAGGCTTAAGAGCCAGCAAGATTTAGCAGACGGCCGAGCCTGGAGCTAGTGGACTTGAAACTGAATCCCTCCTTGGGTACTTCCCATGGGACTGCCCTTGGGTGCTCCACGCTGAGCCTCAGTGCTCTGGTGAATGGAGCCACGTTTCCTATGTCAAAGATTAAATGTCAGTCGCTTAATGGCTTCCCCACTGTTGAGGCTCAGTGGGTAGGCATTGCCTCCCTGCTCCCCTCCGGTGGTTGCAGCGTTTGAGAGTGGGGGATTCTTCTTGGCCCTGGCAGGGGTGCTGTAGTCTCCTCTTGCTCACTGGAAGAAGACAGGAAAGACACTGGTAGCATAGATTGCCTGCCTGTCTGCACGGGGGCCCCATGTTCCAGACTGCGGAGCTAGGAGAGTATGATCTCATGCAGAAACCAGTGCCCGGGGGAGCGAAGTGACTGTCCCTGTCACATGGCCAGCAAGTGGCTCTGTTGGGATGAGAGCTCATGATGCCTTGTGACTTCCCGCTGGTCCTCCTTCTGCTGCTCCTCGTGGCCATGGCCTCCCGGGCACCTCCTGCAGTGTGTACATGCTCCCAAAGCTGCATGTGCTCCCTCCACCCTCTGAGACTCCCTTCTCTGAATCCCCAGTTAGGGCCAGGATGGCCACGGGTGCCTCTGCTGAGGTCAGGACTGCCTCATTCGGGTGCACTTCTCACCTGCCGAGGGATTGCAGCCAGGGAGGGTGAGTGGAGGGCTGATCCTCTGTAGTGAACAGGCTTTTCTTCCCACCACAAAGAGAGGCTTTGCGGGGTAAGGCAGAGGAGGCTGCCGACATCTCATCTAGAAAGAGCAGCGGATCCAGATACTGTAAAAAAGAACCCGGATCATCATGCAAATCAGGAAGGGTAGGGTGCGAAATCCTTGCTGTGCTAGCGTGGGTCAGGAACCAGCAGCATCAGCAGCATCCGGGAACTTGTGAGAAACGCCAAATCCCAGGTCTCACCCAGACCTGCTGAATCAGAACCTGTCTTTAACAAGAGCCTGGGAGATTTCGTGTGAATACAAAAGCTTGAGAATCACTGCACTAAAAATGATCAGTCATGAGATGATGGAGATTTTTATTTTCTTTTTACCTGCTTTCCTGATTTATAATTATTTTTTTACATGAATTACTTTTTTTTATCGTGGTTCAATACACATAACAAAATTCACCATCTTAACCACTTCTGGCGGACAGTGCAGTGGCATTAAATACATTCACACTGTTGTGCAGCTGTCACCACCGCCCATCCCCTTGATTTTCCATCTTGTAAAACTGAAACTCAGTTCCCATTAACAATAACTCCCCATCCTCCCCTCTCCTCAGTCCCTGGAAACCACCATCATACTTTCTGTCTCTGTGATTTTGACTACTTCTTGTGATTAGAATTGTATTTATCTTTTTGGGGACTAGCTTATTTCACTCAGCCTAAAGTCCTCAAGGCTCATCCATGTAGCATAGTGCAGAATTTCCTCCTTTTTGAAGGCTAAATAATAGTGCATTGTGTAGATAGACCCCATTTTGCTTATCCGTCTATCTGTCGATCGACACTTGGTTGCTTTCTCGTCTCAGCTACCACCAAGGATGCTGCTATGAACATGGGCGTACAGTATCTCTTCGAGACCCTGCTGCCATTTCTTTTGGGTGTCTACCCAGATGTGGAATTGCTGGGTCATATGGTGATTCTATCACATAAATTACTTCTTTGATTAAAAAAAAATAGCAAAGGCATTTCAGGGTGGAAAACCTTGTCAAGTTTCCAGCTGGTATTGCCCAAGGGCAGGTAGGGTTGTTGGATGAAGGAAGAAAGAAAGCCTCACTTGTCCATCCTGATGTTAGAGAGAGAAGAGCAGAAGCCAAAACTGCTAAACAAAAAAGTAGGATTTACTGATAGACATAGGTATCAAGGGAGGTGTTTGGGGACTTTGGGTAGGGGGGTGGTCTCCAGACATCCTGAATGACCCTTCAAACCCCCTTTCTCAAAGCCCCTCCAGAGAAGAATAACAATGACAATGTTCAGGAAGTCAGTTGCTATGACCGAGTGTCCGTGGTGTGTCTACTCCCTGGTTTCATCTGTGGGCCTGGAGTGAGGCAGGAGCCTTGTGTGGTGGCCCCGACACAGACTCTCCAGGGGCATGGTCTTGAGTAAGGATCGTAGTTCCACCAATTAGTATTCAAATTAGAACAAAACCTGTTATTTTAGTTCGCAAGGTCCTTTGTGACTAGCCCTGGCCTACCTGTCTGATCTTTCCTTCCTCATTTTTGCTTTTTGCTCAAGTCATGGCAGACTTCCTTCTGCTCCTGGAAGACCAGAAGCCTAGTTTCTTCCTGCCTCCAGGCATCCACCCTGTCTATCTGCTCTGCCTGGAATGCTGGGCTCCCATGTCTTTCCAGGGTTGCTCCTTCTCTTTATAAAGGGCTCAGCTCACATGTCACCTGTGTGGGGAGGCCTTCCACCACTGCCCTGGTGAACGGGGCTGTCTTGCCTCCTCCCTGTCTCATCACTCCATTTGGTTTTTCTTCCTAATATGACTTTCTGACATCATCTCAGTTTAGGTTTCCTTAGGTGCGATTTTTGCTCCATGGGAGGCTGGATCTTCTGTACCATTTCACTCCCATATCCCCAGCACTCAGCACATTGCCTGGCACACAGTAGAAGTTAAATAAATACTGAGTGGGTCAGTGCACATGCTTGCTGTCATCTCTGGGCTTCAGTTTTCCCATCTGCAGCGTGGGGATCCTAATACTTTTCTTGTACGGGGTCGGGGGGAGGTGTAGAAATGACAGGATGTGATGCATGCAGAGTACTCAGTTTAGTGCCTGGCATGCAGGAAGTGCTCAACACGTGGTCACAGTTGTTATCAACCCAGTGGCCCTGACATAACTCGGATGAGTCACTGACCGTCTCTGCGAGGATGCCCTGCTGGGATTCCTTGGCGAAGCCCATGATAAATTGCCCAAGCAAGAAGCAGCTTGGTGGCACTTCAAGGCCAGTGGTGTGGGGCATCTGTTCTTGTACCTCTGAATTTGAGTCTCCTTTGAAATGACTGTGTTCTCTGTCTGGAGCATCACAGTACAGAGCTGTGTCCCTGTTGACTGGAGTCACTGGGCCTCCTGTGGGGCATCAGATGTAGCTCTATAGTGGTCTGCTTGGTGCTTTGAAGTGTCCCTGCCTCAGACCCTTTTAAATGGAAGTTTGGTGCATGCCACGTGTATCAGTTAGGAATGCTTTGGGCTGCAAGTAAACAGCCCAGCATCCAGTGGTTTGAACAAACGGGGTTGTTTGCTGTATGAGAGGCCGGAGATTTCTAGTATTGGTTCAGCAGTGAAATGGTGTGAGGGCTGGTATCTCTGTGGTTCTCTTGGCCTTCCCTCTGGGCTGTTGCCTCATGGCCGTGGTGCCACTCTGCCCAGCGTGGTTATGATGAAGGTGTGAAGGATGGAAGGAGGAGTGAAACCATTAACAACTGTTCCTTTATCAGGAAGGAATGGTTTTCCCCCATCCCTCCCTTCTGCTTACATCTTGTCAGCTAGAACTTCTTTATTTATTTATTTATTTGAGAGAGAGAATGAGAGACAGCACGAGAGGGAAGAGGGTCAGAGGGAGAAGCAGACCCCCCGCCGAGCAGGGAGCCCGATGCGGGACTCGATCCCGGGACCCCAGGATCATGACCTGAGCCGAAGGCAGTCGCTTAACCAACTGAGCCACCCAGGCGCCCGTCAGCTAGAACTTCTTAAGGTCAGCCTTCCAAAAGAGGCCGAGAAAAGGAGTAATTAGGCTTTTCAGCTTGTACCGTGGGAGGTGGCATGGGGAAAGGACGTCAGAGCCGATGGTGAGGTCAGCCAGCGGGCAGTGCCTGCCATACTAGGGAACCTGCATGGTAAATTAGACTGCTGGTTCTCAACTGGGGGCAGTTTTGTCCCCCAGAGGACATTTGGCAGTATCTGGAGACATTTTGCTACAACTGGTGTGTGTGTGTGTGTGTGTGTGTGTGTGTGCGTGCGTGCATGCTAATAGTGTCTGGTGGGTAGAGGCCAGGGATGCTGCTAGGCATCCTGCAGTTCACAGGGCAGCCCCCACCACAGAGAATGATCTGGCCCAAATGTCAGTGGCGCCAAGGTTGAGAAACCCTGAGTTAGACCTTTCCGGACACGTTTTTCAAATGTGGGAGACATTCGTTTAGCTGCTTTCCTGTGAGGTAGCAACAGGCAAATGGCCAAACTTCACTGTAATGAGGTAGATTATTGGTGCCTTCACTCTAGAGGAGGCTGAAGCCTGTTGTGGCAGAAGGCTCGTGTCAAACTGAACTAATGAAGCCTCGTTGCATTTTAGGATCACAGAACAATGACCTGAAAAGACAGTTTCTGCTGGAGCGTCTGCTGGATGCAGTGAAACAGGTAAGAGGAAAGCTCCCGTTTGACTCTCAGGTCAAGTAACAGTGTCAGGCAGTTCACGTCGAAGTCCCTTCTGCACGGACCTACCCCCACTTCCTGTCTGGGAGCAGTGAGGCTCGTAGTGACCACGAGAGAGCAGGGAGGGCAGTCAGAAGTACTGACGGAGGAACGCCCCATGTCCTGACTCTTTAACGCCATGGGGGACCCCGTCCGTCATGATGTCCCTTTGAGAAGGGCTTTGGTGTCGATGTCAAAGTCTCACTTCCCCACAGTTGTGTTTCAGGGCAACTCTTCCGGGCGCTGAAGTGGTGGCTGGAGTTAGCGCCTCTTGGGCACAAGAACAGAGACACACAGGAGGAGCGAAACCATGCCCAGGGTCGCGTGGGTCCTCCAGGTGGGCTCTGCTCCGATGGCTTGATGCAATTTTTGATATCCGGCTTTTGGCTGGGTGTGGAAGCAAGCTTTGGCACGAGGCTGGCTTCAGAGTGCTTGCCTGTGTGTGCCAGACATGTATGGTTAACTGCACACACGTCAGTCCCGTGCCGGGCTCTCCACTGAGTGCTTCCCCTCTCATCCTTCCATCCACCCTGTGAGGTGGTTCCTGCACTTGTTTCCCGTTTATGGACAAAGAAACGGAAGCTCAGAAAGATGCAATAATTCGCTTAAGGAGTTAGAGGTAATAAGTAGCAGAGCTAGGATCCAATGCTGGGAATTCTAGGTAGCTCACATTTCAGAAGGCGTCACTGACAATTCTATGCATGCGGTCACCATATAGGGAGGTCAGTACTTTCATAGAGATGCGTGTCAGGTGTTGAAGTGAACCCAGAGAACTTGGCATCTCCCCAGCCTCCTGGCGCCCAGGTGTGGTGTGTGGTGGAAAGGACGCAGGCTCAGGTGAAGCTGGAGCCGAATGCCAGCTTCATCTCTTCAAGGCTGTGTGTGCTGGGGCAACTCATCTAGCCTCTCTGGGCATCCCTCTTCTCTGTCATCGAGTCACTGCTCTCCAGAGGGGCTGACGAGGGGTTTGCATTTGTTGAAGTAGCTAAAGGGCCCAGCAGTAAATACGGAATCCACATTATTTGTTTCTTTGTCCCAGAAGTGGGAAATACAATAAGAAAATGAAGAGGCAAGTGGGACCACTTTGAATGTAGCCATTAAACAGAAATAAATTGGAGCCTATGCCCAGAGCTGCTGTTACTATTGTTGTTGTTATGACTGGGGAGATGGAAGCATTGTACACAGACCTTTTAAAAGTCAATCTTACTGAGGTATAACTGAGGCATGCAATAAAATACACCGATTTAAAGTGTGCAGTTCCATGAGTTTTGACATATGTATCATTTAAAAGCATTCATTCATTCATTCATTCATTCATTCATTCATTTGGAGAATAAGTTCTGGAATCTTGCAAGCCTGCTACACACAGAGGAGATTCCACACCTTTAAAAGACAGTAGTGGCTACTGCTGATGGTGACAGTTTTGTGAATCGAATGGTATATAACTAAAATGGTTAAAATGGTAGATTTCATGTTACCTATTTTTTACCACAATTAAAGAAGAAAGAATGGTTTTTTTTTTTTTTAATTTTATTTATTTATTTGACAGAGAGAGACACAGCGAGAGAGGGAACACAAGCAGGGGGAGTGGGAGAGGGAGAAGCAGGCTTCCCGCGGAGCAGGGAGCCCGATGCGGGGCTCGATCCCACGACCCTGGGATCATGACCCGAGCCAAAGGCAGATGCTTAATGACTGAGCCACCCAGGTGCCCCGAATGGTTTGCTTTTATAAGTACCCACCCTGGGTGAAATGTCATGCAGTACAACCGGATGGCATGGTTGAAGCTTGAAGCATGCTGCCATAATTTTATAGGCAGTCATAACAACTTTGGGGCCCTTTCCAAAGGCACCCATCATCACAGATTTGTGTAAGTTTTAATTGTCCCATTGGGAGCTCTGTGCTCAGACAGCCAGCCTCTGACATACAGAAGAAGCTTCCTAGATAACCCGCACAAGGCTGTGTGCTTTTGTTTTCCTCTTGGTGCTGTTTTCCCACAAGGCTCCCCACTCTGTACAAGTGGCAGATAAGGCCTTCCTGTAGGCGGTGGCTGGAAGGCTGGGGTGTCCACCATCTCACATCTTGGCTTGACACCTAGTGCACCCTGTGTGTCCCAGGATCCCGAAAGTCTGTGTGGACTGATTGTGATGTCTGAGTGTCCCATCCCAACTGCCGATCTCAGTGACTTCTCTTTCCCTGCAGTGCCAGATCCGCTTTGGAGGGAGAAAGGAGATTGCCTCGGATTCCGACAGCAGGTAAACATGTCGCTTCTAAAACCATTTACTGTCAAGACCAAAAGGGTGGCCAGAGATGACTAGCTTCTGTATTCTGCCTCTGCAGCTGAGGGGTGTGGGGATTCAGTTTGGGTGATCTGTAGACCACCCATGCTGTGACTACCTGTCTAGGGTATTTGCAGCTTCCTGTGATGCTCCTTCCCTCTAGTAGTTCATTCCGAGGGAATTCCCTGAAATACCTTTTTTTTTTTTTTAAGATTTTATTTATTTATTTGACAGAGAGTGAGACAGCTAGAGAGGGAACACAAGCAGGAGGAGTGGGTGAGGGAGAAGCAGGCTCCCGCTGAGCAGGGAGCCTGATGCGGGGCTCTATCCCAGGACCCAGGGATCATGACGTGAGCCGAAGGCACACGCTTAACGACTGAGCCACCCATGTGCCCCCTGAAATACCTTTCTACATAAAGTTATTTTCAGGGTAATTGATCATGATGGCAACTCAGAAATCTAAATGCTCAACAGGTGGGAAATGGTTAATAAAGTGCAGTGCATCAGGAGGACGGAATGTTATGTAGCCATTAAAATTGATGTCCATACAACATTTGTTTTAAGCAGAGAAATGCACGTGTAGTAATTTACAAATTATATATGTAGTTAACATAAAAAGAGTAAGATACAAAATTATATGGATGCAGAGTGATGCTAGCTATGTTAAACCACCACTCTGGTGAAAAACACATCAGAATGTGAACAGAGGTAATCTTGGGGTTGAGAATATTGGGAATCCTTACACTTTCTGACATTTTTCGTATTTTACACTGTGGTCATGTGTTTCCTTTATAATTAAAAAAAAAATCCTAAAAATTGCCATTGACCTTCATGACCCAGGAAGGGCTGATGTAATTGCATAAGCTTTTCACATTGACTGGGAGGAGACGGAAATGTTTTGGCAAAGGTAAGAGACACACAGGCCGTTGCTTTGTGAAATCATTCAGGGCTGATTCATGGTGGCAGGAGGAGCATTCCCACAAAGGAAGGGAAGAGAACTCATGCGCTCAGCATTCATCTCATCCTGGAGACTGGCCGTGGCCGCCACCCCGCCCAGCAGAGCCAGTCCCTGTCTGTCCTTTCAGACCCGTGTCTGCGCTACTTTACCAGCTGCGAGCAAAGTATGAAGTGCTACATTTTAATAGAGCTGCGGGGCCTATTTGAACGGGTGCAGATTTAAAACTGTACCCCTCCCTTATTCTCTTTTTTTTCTCTAGTTTTTCTTCTTAACACTTAGCACCCACCAACAGACTGTACTTTAGGCTTTTTTATTTTGTTGATTTCTGTCTCTGTGTCCTAATGTCAGCTCTGTACGGGCAGGGATGTTTGCTGTCTTATTCGCTGATGTATCCCCGGTGCCTGGAAGCATGCGGAAGGTGCTCAGGAAAGACTTGCTGTCCGGCTGAGCGTGTGCATTGCGTTGTGCCATAGTCAGGTGTTTAAATATCTGTGCCACCATGAGACTTGTGCGCCCTGAGGGCAGAGGGGCGACTCCTCTAGTGTTTTGCATGGGCATTTCGTGCCTGTCACACATTAGCTTCTCAGCATATGCTTGTGGCATCAGATCATTAGACCGGTTTATTGCTTCAGTTTTTCATGAGGCTCTACTATGGGGCCTGGCCCCGGTCAGCACAGGGGTCCTGATTTGGGGATGCAAGGTCAACTTGCATCAGAATCATCCAGGAGGCTTACTATTCAATAAGGCAACTCTCCATCCCATCCTAGACTGCCTGTGTATATGCACACAAGCGTGTGCATTCATGTGGATGTGTATGGGTATGTGGACTCAGGACTTCTTCCTCACTTTTTTTTTTCCCCTCATGATTGTCCAGTTTTTTTCCTGAGAGAATCCATCTCTAAATGTTAATGTGTTCTTTTTTTTTTTTTTTTTAAAGATTTT